ACTTATTACTCGTCCCCGTCGGTTTGGCAAATCTACAAACCTTTCAATGCTTTATACCTTTCTCAAACCGGTGTCGGAAAAAGAGAAAGAACAAAAGCTTGCACTGTTTAAAGGCCTCAAAGTCGCACAATTTGGTTGGTTTATGAAGTTGCACTTAGGCAATTGGCCTGTCATTTACGTTAATTTTAAGGTAAATAAGCCTAATGTAGTTCTTCTTTTAAGCAGGATGGCTAATTATACTTATTTTATTAGGATCTTTGTGACAAGTCTTGGGAATTAATGCTAAATTCCATCAAGGAAAGAATATCGGACATTTACAAAGAACATCGTTATATGATTGATAATAAGAATCTTCATATAGAAGATGAATCTTTATTTAAAAACATTCTCAATGAAACAATTGACGAGCCACATTTAATAAACGCTATCTCCCGTCTAACACGCCATCTCCATGGCTACTTTGGCAAACAAACTATTATTCTCATTGATGAATATGACTGGCCGATGGAACACGCGATAAATTTTTACGACGAAGCTAATTCTTTTTTTAGATCCATGTACTCTAGCATAGCAAAGGTAAACTGCTCTTCATTGTTACTTAGTACATATTGTTTGGGTTGTTGACTAATTTGTAAATTTCGGTGCAGGACAATGAATACGTATATAAGGTCCTGTTCGTTGGACTGCTCCCTCTAGGCCAAGCAAGTTTCCTTTCTGGACTTAACAATGTTGTACATTACCCAATGCATGAATTACCTGGTATATACGGCCGTGCCGAATATTCGGACATGTTTGGATTCACAGAAGCAGAAGTCAAGCTTCTTTTAAGTAAAAATAATCAGAACCTTGAACTCGATAATTTACGCACTCAATATAACGGGTATCAAACCAGTACCGGTGTGCGTATCTACAACCCACACTCAATTATATCGTCTCTAAATAAGGGTATTGTTAGGAATTACTGGGCAAATAGTGGTTCGACAGTTACGGTCAAGGAATGTCTAAAAAAATGTAGCCAAAATATTGAAGAAGAGCTCCAGAGTCTTTACTACTCATTTTATTCGTTACAAGACGATGATTCACCACGAAGATATGTTAAAGTGGAACTCATGCCACATCTCCGATACGACGTTCTGGAGAACGAGCTAGAAATAAACGCGATCTATACACTATTATGTTATAGTGGCTACTTGACCGTAAAATTCGATGATGAATTCAACAATAAAGTTGATAAACAATGGATGTCTACCGAAGCCAAACTTGTTATACCAAATAAGGAAGTTGCTGAACAATGGAAGGAGTGGATTATCGATTTCATAGGTGTAAGTCGGCTAAAGACGAATGACATATTCAATTCGTTATTCAAGAAAGATATCAAGATGTTTTGCGAACAATTTCCTGCTCTTTATATTGAAATAATCTCCTGTTATGATATTGGTGATTCTAAAAGGGCTGGGTCATATGAGGGTTGGTACCATATGTTTATCCTTGGAGCACTTGCAATGTTTCACGGTGATGATTACCAGGTTGTGTCCAATCGTGAAGCTGGGAACGGTCGCCCCGATGTCCGCATTATCCCGATTAACCAAAAATCCGATACTTGTATTATTTTTGAGTTTAAGCTTGCTAAATCAGAAAACCGTGATGAAATGAAAATTAGTGCTAAGAATGGGCTAAATCAAATTGCTGATAAGAACTATCGGTCAAATACTGCAAACCATATCGAGACGATAGTTGAAGTTGCCATTGCCTTCTGTAAAAAAAGCACCTTCGTCTCTGCTCAACTTTTACGACGTAAAAAAGGTGGAAAAAAAGGTAAACTTTCAACAAATGCTTGGGAAATTTATTCATCAGAAGAATCGTGTTAGAAGGAAG